TCCAGTCTGGGTGACAGAGTGAGACTTCAACTCAAAAAAAAAAAAAAAAAAGATGGTGAAAAATGAACCTCATCTCTATGATGGCCAGAAAGAGTCTAACTTTTCATTCGCTCAGCAGAGAGATAATGAAATCTACCAGGTGCCAGGTTTTGCATGCCCTATCTCCCCCACACTCCCCATCTGAGTCGGCCTGATGGCTTTAATGAGAGTAACTTGGGGACTGTAGAACATACATTTGCCAACTTTATTTAACATTTTCCTTTTACAAATTGTAGATTCAGATCTGATTATTCATTGCACAATTCTGGGTAATATTTTTCTTCTGCAAGGTTATAAACCCTTCATCTGGAGTGGTGTAGGTTTGAAATATAAATTGGAAGAAGGAAAATTATTCTATTTTCTTTTTCTTTTTTTTGAGTTGGGGTCTCACTCTGCTGCCCAGACTGGAGTGCAGTGGAATGCTCATGGCCACTGCAGCCTTGACCTGCTGGGCTCCAGCGATCCTTCCACCTCAGCCTTCCAAGTAGCTGGAACTACAGATGCACGCCACCACACCCAGCTAGTTTGTGTGTGTGTGTAATTTATTGTAGAGAGGAAATCTTACTAAGTTGTCCAAGCTGGTCTCAAAATCCTGGGCTAAGGCAATCCTCTCGCCTTGGCCTCCCAAAGTTCTGGGATTATAGGCTGAGTCTATAGAATAATTATTCTATTTTCATTAGAAATTTAACTTTAGTCCTGTTTCTGTCATTGATCTATCCTCACAGGGTATAAAACTATTCTAGAAAAAGCTATTTCTGGTCTTTTTGCATTACCAATTGGTAAATCTTCCATAAAATTTTTTATTTTATTGTTACAGGGTTTCACTCTGTCATCCAGGCTGGAGTGTAGTGGCGTGATCACAGCTTACCACAAACTCAAATTCCTGGGCTGAAGCGATCCTCCTGCCTCAGCCTCCCAAGCAGCTGGGTCTACAGGCGTTTGCCTCCTTGCCAAGTTAATTTTTCTTCTTGTAGAGATGAAGTCTCACTTTGTTGCCCAGACTGGTCTTAAACTCCGAGCCTCAAGCAGTCCTCATGCCTCAGCCTCCCAAAGTACTAGGATTGCAGATGTAAGCCATCACGCTAGCCCCTTCAAAATTTTAAGCAGTAACAAACCATAAAACAAACAGGTGTTTTTCACATAAAGCCGTGACTTTAATTTTTTTGTTGTTTTTTTGAGTTGGAGTCTCACTCCGTCACCCAGGCTAGAGTAAAGTGGCATGCTCAGAACCACTGCAGCCTCGACCTGCTGGGCTCAGGTGATCCTTCTGCCTTAGCATTCCAAGTAGATGGAATTACAGGCACATGCTACCACATCCAGCTAATTTTTCGATTTATTGTAGAGATGAGGTCTCACCAAGTTGCCCAAGCTGTTCTTGAACCCGTGGGCTCAGGAAATCCCCTCACCTCGGCCTCCCAAAGTGCTGGGATTACAGGCTTGAGCCACTGCACCTGGCCAACTTTAACTATTAACTGAAAGTTCTACTTTGGTTAAGCTTCACACAAAATGACAAGAAGATGAAAAGTGTAATAAAACAGCCTCTTTTTTCTGCTTAAAATCACAAATGGCAGATTCACAGTGGGCTAGAACAGAAACGGCAGGGCTCTTCAGAAATGTGAGTTTTATACTGGGATTATGGAGTTTTCTTTCCCGTATTTTAAGATATGGGGTCTCAGCTGGGCTCGGTGGCTCAGCCTGTAATCCCGCACCTTTGGGAGGCTGAGGTGAGTGGATTGCCTGAGCCCGCAGGTTCGAGACCCGCCTGGGCAACTTGGCGAGACCTCATCTCTACAATAAATAAAAAAAAAATCAGCCAGGCGTGGTAGCGCATGCCTGTAATTCCGGCTACTTGGAAGGCTGAGGTGGAAGGATCGCCAGAGACCAGCAAGTTGAGGCTGCGGTGGCCAGGAGCGGCCACTGCACTTCAGTCTGGGCGACAGAGTGAGACTCCAACTCAAAAAAAAAAAGATATGGGTCTCACCATTTTGCCCAGGCTGGTCTTGAAATCCTAGGCTCAAGTGATTCTCCCACCTCTAGCTGGGACTGTGGGGCGTATGCCACCACATCCAGCTCAAGTCTTTTGATGATCAATAAAGGCAGAGCATTCACACTTACACAACCCCTGACTGAGACCCCTCATTCTCTGGGGCTCCCTCATTTCAGGGTGGAGTGATATCTCTGAAGCTATTCCTGAAGATACAGAGACAGTGATAGCCAGGGCTAGAACATGACCCACTACAGGGCTGTGCTGAGAATGTGCATGATGTGTAAGGCAGTGTCTCTCTATCTGAAACACCCACATACCTTTATTTTTTTTTTTTGAGTTGGAGTCTCACTCTTTCGCCCAGTGGCCACTCCCGACCACTACAGCCTCAACCTGCTGGGCTCCGGCGATCCTTCCGCCTCAGCTTTCCAAGTAGCTGGAAC